AAGTATTTAAATGTTAAAATTCACATTAGTGTGAGTGTTCGTATTGTAAAAGATGGTGCCAAACAGATGTAATTTTTCTCAGAGAATACTAGGGGGTTTTATTTTCTTTTTTTTTTCCATATTTTTTGTCTGCTCTGAGAAGTTACACAAGCCTCTTCATGATGATGTAAACTCTTGGAAAAAGGAGAATGTTCCAGCTGGAACTTGCTTCAGCTAGTAAAAACTGACACCTCAGCTTCACTTGTTCAAGCCAATGTTATCTCTATGTATAATGGTAAATCTGGACCAACTGCTGCAAACTCGTTGCTTAGTTAAATAAACTAATAAACAGCAATATTTTGAACTAAGTAATTTTACGTTAAGTACAGAATTTTCTTTTATGTAAACAAATAGCTGCAGACATGCCTGTTCATATCTGTAAATGATTTGCAAATAGAGACATATGAGACTATTTGCATCTGAGGGAACTCCACTACTTTTGATCAAGTTAAGCTAAAGTGATTTGGGCCTATATAACTAAAAATAGCCATTAACAACTCGGCAATAAAATATTATGAGGAAGGTCAGTATGAAGCTTTTTTCCTAAAATGTGCTTTTTCTATACTTACAGAGTCAGTAGATTACATGGTACATCTGCAAGTGCACGTATCTCACCCTACTGCTTTGCTGTCTTTTCTACGAGACTGTAATTTTTGAATTCACACCTCTGTCTCCCTTCCTCCACGCTTCGTCTTTCACACAACCAGTTGCATACAAGACTAAAAAAATATTCCATTTTATCTTACTTGGAATAGGAATAGGAAAATCAGCAAAAAGGAGCACATTAAGACACACTCACACTCGCAATTTGTGTCTGTCCTCCTCTAGGCTTTAACTGCTTGAACCTGTTGGCAGGTTAAAGTTTTAAATTCATGATTTCTCATCCTGTTGAAAAAGAACTTACTGTTTATGAAATAATCTGAAAGCCATAATTTCTATTTTGAGAGTTATTAATATTCATACTTCCTCTCTGTGACAATTTTATGGTGAACAAAAGAGAGTCTTGCTTTTTTAAAGAAAGCAAGCCTGATTCTGCGGGTAAGACCGGGTGGGACTTCAAGGTTGTCCCTTCACTCCACTTTCCATTAGTTTCCCTTTGTGATTTTTGGCAAGGGAGATCTGCACTTCATCAGGTTTGTTATCTGCAAAGTGGGGTTGTTGTATTCATCTCATTTAGGTGTTGTTAATTAACTCAGGTTACTCAAATACATGGGTATACTGCATGAATAAAAAGCTGGACTGATCTTTTTCCCTTGGTCTGCAAAGGCATTGTGTACTAACCACAGCGTCATAGTGTATGTATCTAAGGCTCCAATGTGACTTCTTCAATTATTAACACAAATCAATAGGAGTGGACCACTGTGCCGAAAGCAATCATGGCTGCGAGCAACTGTGCCTAAATACTGATGGCTCCTACGTCTGTCAGTGCTCTGAAGGATTTGTCATCAATGAGGACCTAAAAACCTGCACACGTAAGTGCTGCGAGAACCTCCTTGATCTCAGCTCACCTGAGAAAGGTTTTTGTTTTCATCCAGGCAAGAGGACACAGCTTCAATTTATTCTTATAGTCTGCACTTTGATAATACTTTAATAATGATTTGAAAGCAGAAACAGACAGGAAAAAAGACTTTAGAAAGGATGCTTGTCAAGGTAACTGTAAATCCTTACATATTCAGAAAAGTTTTGGAAGATCTGTTCATCCCCAGGTGTTGAGGACAGTTTTTCAGTCACATGACAAATGTGTCTGACTGACAGATCATCTTGACAGCAGTGTCCCCCAGGCAAACTGCATCAGCTTACCCGGGACAGGAAAAGTGGGAGTCCCACACTGAGCTTTACATTTTGCATGGAGACCCTTAATAAATGAACAGAAGTCATCCTGACAGCTCTCCACCCTTTATAAATCTAATGATCGTTGAGAATCATTGCAGTTTCGCAAATAGCCGAATTGCCTCCTTCACTGGAAAAATAATGTATAGAAAGGGCCAGGAAAAGAGGAATGTGAATGCATTTTGCCTATTGACTTTTCCTGGACCTCTTCAATGAGAGGGTTTTGGCCACTTTTTCTACAGATTTTGGAGGTACATTATTTTTCAAGCTTGTTGAGTGTTGGAGTAGCTCCAGAGTTAGCTTGCTCCTTTTTTTGCAGTCAGGCAACACAGTTTTAACAGAAGTCAAACTGCAAGTGCTCAGGCACTAAAATGATCTAGGAAGAAGTGAGGCAAATCAGCAAAGGCAATTTGTCTTTGTCTTTAACGTTGTCTTTGCCTCCATACTAACCTTTTTAGCCCCATCCAATACCTTGTCAGACTTTGCTTCTGTCTGACACTGCAGCTCTGTAGAAGGGGGCAGACAGTGATGCAAAAGCAGAGCTAGTGTACATGTAACAGCGATAGGGTCTACTAGAAAAAATTTATCTAGACATTTATCTAGAAGAACCACTGGAAATTTAGAAAGAGCCGAACTATGGAGATTTATCAACTTGCAAATGGGAAAACCCTTTTCCTTTGTAGTAAAACCAGGTGAGGTATTCATGCTTGAGTTATTTTCCTCCAGGACGTACTTGGAGACCTATCAGCATCATTAAAACAGTGCTGTGGCTTCTGGAATCCCTCTGTTCAATGAAGCTGAGCCCTTTTGAACAGGTCCTTTTCTTGCCAGCATACCCCTCTCCTCATATATATTTAGGAAAGAGATTTGTCCTATTCATGAACTCCAGATGAGTTGTTGAAACCTCATGGACATTTTTAGGCTATCATGAAAAGAGTTTTGGCACTTTGGGATTTCCTGAGTGAGCAGTTGAATGGAAGGGGTTAGCATTTAACATATACCACTTCTAATGGGAAAACATCTGGGATTTATAATTCTGGTGTTGTAAACACAGGCACAAGTATCTTAAGACAGCTGTGAGAACACATGAATGGTAACCAGATTTCTACTCTGACAACTGATTACAAAAAAATGAGTGACACTATGTGTGCAGCCAATAGACAGTAGGAAGTGCTGCCTGCAGGATCCCAGGGGTCTTATGTCTTTGTATTACAGAGAAGAAACACTTAGGAAATCTGAGATGAAAAGTGGACCATATTTGACAGTACTTGTCATTTGCAGTTCTTTGCGAAAGCTTGAATAGTCTAAGCCAAAGCCCACTGAGGTCCCTGAAAGGTTTTCTGCTTGCCACGGCAGCTGGGTCAGGTACTCAAGTGAGTTCTGGGGACTGCCACCTTCACATTGGGCCATTTAGAGACTGTGTTTAAAGAAAATTCACAAGGTAGCTTTTATGTCTTTGCCACTGTCTTATAGAAAATCATTGCTAAAGTGTTTTGGTTGTTTGGGTTTTTTTTTTTTAAATTCAATTTTTAAGTACTGAAATGTGGGCTCTGTTGAGCTCTGTTAAGCATAGGAAAGTATGATTTCTCAACTCTGCCTAAAGCAACCAACGGAAAGTACACCACAAGGCCCTCTTACATTTTGTTGAAGCTATATGTATGTTATCAGATAAGGAATTGGATTATTGTTTAAACAGTTCAATGTATTTATATTTACTTGCTTATATGGCATGCAAATACTAGAGATGAAAAATAATTGATTCATTATTTGTTAAATTTTTTTAATAACTCATTGCTCTTACAGGAGTTGACTATTGTGCTTTGAGTGATCATGGCTGTGAACATTTGTGTGTAAATGGTGACAGATCTTATACTTGTCAGTGTTTTGAAGGATACAGGCTTCGTAATGATGGGAAAACATGTAAACGTAAGTTATTATTCAGCAACTCAGAGTCAGATTTTTTTTACATACATAGAAGAAATCTGTAAGGTAGGATTTGATTACCTAAAAGTTGCTGTCCAGTGTCACTTTAAATGCTCAAGGATTCCAAAAGTTCATAGATTCCCCATTGGTGTCATATTTGCCAGCAGTATGTCGGTATCTTGAAAATGCTAAGTTCTAAAGTGGAACTGGATACCTACTTTTAGGCACCTGAATCACACCCTAATTGTCTGTGCCATGTAAAAAGTAGCCCTGAAATTGGACTGTTGTGGATCCAAAACTATTTTATTCTGACTTACATTCTTATGTGGGACAACTTTAATTTTCTTCTCAAATCAAGGCAAAATTATATAATGTTTCTAAAGCCTTATACAGCATGAAGCTTGCAATAATTATTAATGGAAAGTTCATTTTGTCCAGCATGGAATAAGGATGATTGCAAAGGAGATATCGTAATTGCATTACACATTTGACTACATTATGCAGCTATGATGAGTGGCAGATATCAAGAAAAAAATCTTTGCAAATTTTTCTCCATTTTTATAGCTTTGATCACTAAGTGATCAAAGAAGAATCATGGATAAGTCTCTGAAAAACACATAGGCATTCAATATTTTGTAACTGTAATCCTAATAATATCCATAGATCTCATCAACATCTGCTGTTAAAAAACATTTACGGAAGAAAAAAATTAAAGTCATCCCAATATTACAATGACAAATGAAAAGCTCCTTATTCTCAATTAGTGTATCACAACAACACCCTACTTTGTTATTCCATGCAAACAGGGACAAATTTTGCTTGTCTCAGAAAGTACTGACACTCTAAAAGCAAGTGAAATGTTCTGTCCATGCAAAAGTCCAGAGGAATCTAGATAGATTGGAGCACTGAGCAATGATTAATGGGATGAAATTTAACAAGTCCAAGTGCCAGATTCTGCACCTAGGACAGAGTAACACTGGGCACAAGTATAAGTTGGTAGAGGAGTGGCTGGAGAGCAGCCCTGCAGAAGGGGATCTGGGGGTGGTGGTCCACAGGAGGCTCAATAGGATTCAGCAGTGCCCTGGCAGCCAAGAGGGCAAACTGCACCCTGGGTGCATCAATCGGGGCATGGCCAGTCAGTCAAGGGAGGCGATTATCCCGCTGTACACAGCGTCGGTGCAGCCTCACCTTGAGCCCTGTGTGCAGTTCTGGGCCCCACAACTTAAGAAGGATGTGAAGGTCCTCGAGTGCCTCCAGAGGAGGACAACAAAGCTGGGGAAAGGGCTGGAAGGAACGTCCTGTGAGGAGCAGCTGAGGACTTTGGGCTCGTCTAGTTTGGACAGAAGGAGGCTGAGGGGTGACCTCATTGCTCTCCACAGCTTCCTGAGGAGGGGAAGTAGACCTGATCTCTTCTCCCTGGTATCCAGTGACAGGACAGGTGGGAATGATACAAAGCTGCGCCAGGGAGGTTCAGACTGGACATTAGGAAGCATTTCTTTGTGATAGGGTGGTCAAACACTGGAACAGGCTTCCTAGAGAGGTGGTCAATGCCCCAGGCCTGTCAGTGTTTGAGAGGCAGCTGGACAAGGCCCTTAACAACATGCTGTAACTTGTGGTCAGCCCTGAAGTGGTCAGGCAGTTGGAACAGATGATTGTTGTAGGTCCCTTCCAACTGAAATAGTCTGTTCTGTTCTGTCCTGTTCTATTCTAAGTCCTTGCAGGAAAACAAAGGGTGTGGGGAAGAAAGTGAAAGCAAGATGTTAGTTTATCCAGTGTTAATTAATAGATTGTATTGTATTGTATTGTATTTTGAAATAGGAATTGTATCTAAAATCTGTATCAGAAAACCCGGTTGAACATCTGCTTGACCAATTATAGGTGACAATTTCCAAGAATTTCAGAGCAGGATGATATAATTTGTCTTTCTTGCTACTCTTAAACACTACATACACCAAACTTTTCTAATCCTACTTTACAGAAAAATGACAAATACCTTCTGAGCTTAAGCACAGAGAAAAAAAAGCATAGCTATTTCAGGTTTGAGCAGGCTAATTACTGAAGACAAAAAGATGATGATAGAAAGATCTGTTTCTTACCAGATAGTTTACTTGAAATGTGGATGTGGGATTTAGGTGCCTTTGGAAATCCCTGTGGGTCCCTAATCTGCATGCTAGGGACATGTGAAATTCTACAAACTCTAGAACTGGAGCAGTGCGCTTTTCCTTAACAGTAAGGTTGTAAAATTAGCAGGACAAATGTGTACCTTTTTGTTATAACAAAAAAAGACAGCAGGTGCTACAAACGATTTGCAGGATTGAGTCCAATATACTAGCAAAGACAAGAATATTCGATAGCTGGGAACTGTAAGACTTTGAACATCTCACCCTTAACTAACTGGTTTTCTATCTATTAAATTATTCCCAGGTAAAAATGTCTGCAAATCAGTCAACCATGGCTGCGAGCATATTTGTGCTAGTGCTGACAATTCCTATATCTGCAAGTGTCGTGAGGGATTCATACTGAGAGAGGATGGCAAGACGTGCAGAAGTGAGTGACCAGTATCTATTGAACATTTTTGCATAAGCATCAGGCAAGGAAAGAAAAAAAAACCACTTCCTTTTTATATCTACATTTTTTTAGTATGTTTTCATTCAAAACTTATATTTATACCAATCATTCCCAGGACGGGACATCTGCAAATCAGTCAGCCATGGCTGTGAGCATATTTGTGTTAATGAAGATGACTCGTATGTTTGCAAGTGTCATGAGGGTTTTCTGCTGAGAGAAGATGGGAAAACATGCAGAAGTAAGTACTCTGATAATTGCTCATAGACTTTTTTCTACAGTATGTAGATTTGTGGAAGTGTTCTAACAAATACAACAACAGTTTACTGTTATAATATGGGAGTAGTATTGTACATGCCAGAAGCTTGTAAGATACTCTCTGGACAGAAATAGTGTATTTTAATAGCCAAACTGATATGACTGGAGACAAAAAAGGCTCACAATTTTTCAGGTACCAAGTGTTAGAAGTGTTCACGGCCTAAATTTTTGCCCATTTCTTCCAGTGTCATGAGTAGACCTAATAAAAGCTATTACTTCTCCCTGCATGATACATTCATTGTAGATGTGCTTTAACCAAGTATCATCAACTATTCTCAGATAAAGACATTTGCAGTTCGGTTGACCATGGCTGTGAACATATTTGTGTAAATGCTGATGAGTCATACATCTGCCAGTGTTATGAGGGATTTGCATTAAGGGGAGATGGAAAAACATGTAGAAGTAAGTATCCGTATCTTTAATGGAAGATTTCTTTGATAATCTGTGCATTCGCAGACATTTTTTAAATACTGGCCACCTTATTTTTTTCCAGATAAAGATGTTTGTAATTCTGTTGACCATGGCTGCGAGCATGTTTGTGTGAATACTGATAGTTCATACATTTGCCAGTGCTATGAGGGGTTTGTATTGAGGGAAGATAAGAAAACATGTAAACGTAAGTTATTTTATGTTACTGTGGTTTTTGCAGTCAGAGGTCTACTGGAGAAACACACTGTGTTAGAGGTGGGTCCTCTTATAGGGATTTTGCATGACAAAAAGGAGGATAAATTCTGTATTTACTAGGAACTTATTACTTTTAGTTTTTAAAGATTTGGAAATGTTCTCATTCGTCAAACTGTAATAAATAAAATCTAAATTATTCGTAGATAAGGACATCTGCAAATCAGTCAGTCATGGCTGTGAACATCTTTGTGTTAATGGCGACGATTCATATACTTGCCAGTGCCATGATGGATTTGTACTAAGGCAAGATGGGAAAACATGCCGAAGTAAGTAGCCTATGAATAAAAGAAGACATTTCATTTCCCTTTTATTGGGAGATTATTCACTGCTTAATGGTCAGAATGGAATATTGTTCTCTACAGAACAATTAATTATTGTTTGAACTAAAGATACATTTCAGAAAAATCAGCCAATTTTAAGGTTTGAATGTAGCTTTTAAAATGTGAACTTCATTTCTAGATTGAGTATATTGATTTTTAATCTTAAGCAGAGGATGTTGCAGCGTTTTACTTTGATGGATTGAAGTGCTAATTGCCACTGTGTTGTTCTGTATATATTCATGCAGATCATGACTCAACTTGTTCCTTAACTTAACCTCTTAGCCTGTTATTTTGTAAATTATAAGCAGATGGAACTCCTTCAGGATCTTTATCTGTTGTCTAATCTTTTCATAAGTCTCTTCTTGCTCCCCTAAAACCTCTGCTATTTTTCAGCATCCTTGTCCGGGTACCACAATGGTACAATGTCTTCTAATAGGAGACACATCAGGGTCCAAGGTAGAGGAACTATAACCCACCTAATTCTTATTTGAATCTACCCATCTTTTTTTATCTCTACCTTTTTTTTTTTTTTTTAACCTATCTTTTTTATGACCAAAGATAGCATTAGTCTGTAATCAAAATATTCTGCTAGCGCTTGTGTTCAGTTAAGTTATCTACCATGATCATAAGCTATTTAAGACTCTCAGTCACACAGGTGTCCCACATCCTGTAAGTACAGCCTTCATTGTTTGTTTCTAAATGTATAAGCTTAGTTCTGGCTATTTTAAAAGACGTATGATTTGCTGTTATCCAGCTTGCAACAAGATTCATGTCTCCTTATATCAGCAGCTGCTCTATTTTTATTTGCCATTCTCTCAAAACTAGAGTCACCTACAAACTTTGTCAGTGATTATTTGTGTTTTCTTTTGGGTTGTTCATAAAAACGTTAAGTAGTAGAGGAGCAGGGAAAATTCTTAGAAAGAAGGCCACTTGATGTTCCCCCATTTACAATTTATTCTGAAGACCTCTCTAGCCAGTGTTAATCCATATAATGTTGATTCTGTAGTCTGTTTTCTTAATCAAAATAAATACTAAGATTGCCACCTTACTGAATGCTCTATTATATGAAAACCATGAGCTTTATGAACCAGCCTCATGATCAATTATAAAAGATATTTATTTAGTTTTCCAGGATCTATTTTTCCATAATACCAAACTGATCGGTAATAATTCTCTTTCTTGGATTTTACTCTGAATCAAGTTCTACATTATCTATTCACTTATTTTAATGCAGATCAATATCAAGCTGACAGGCTTACAATGAACTACTCATCCTTTTCAAACACTGGAACAACAGTATTTTTTCAGTGTGTGTGCATACACTGGGGATGGAGACTGCTCAGTGTTTTGCAGCTTCTTTGGAGTTCTAGTAGTTACTAAAAAGTAACACTAAGCATCCAAGGTGTTCTTCAGCCAGCTCCTTTACAACTCTTCGCTGCAAGTTATCTGGAGTTATGGATTTCAAAATGTGTGTGTTCAGTACGTGCTATGTGACCCACTTCACAGCTGATGAAACTGTTTACTCCAACAATATCATCAGTAGCCTGTTTCATAAGTTCAGATCTGAATCCACTAAATATTTTCAACATTTCTGCATTAAAATTGGCAATTCTACCATTTCTATCTATTAATTAACAATACATTGTTAGAATGCTTTTTGTTCCTAATAGTCTTTAAAGAACTTACTCATACTGTCCTTTATTTTGGTGGCCATGCACTCCCGTGTCCTTTATCTTATCATTTCAATGTTTTCAAATTCCTAATATTTTCACGTTCAGCAAACACTGGGAATGTGCCTTTCTTTCAATCATTATTCAAATCTTACACCTGTTTTTAATTTCAATTTCTAAATTAGGTTGCTTTTTTAACTACTCTGGCATTCTTTTTAGATTACGGAACTACATTTTTTGTGGGTATCTAGTAAATAATCTTAAATAGTGCAATTATTCACTTTTTAAAAAAAACAAAATTATTTCCATCCCAAAATACTCTGGCTCATATTTGCTTTCAGCTATGTGAAATTCATCCTTTTGAAGTAATAGCTGTGTCTGCTCCTGTTTTGTATTTGATTCAGTTTATAAACAACAAATGTGTCTGAGTTCAACACAGCTGTGTATAAGCAGATGCTAATTTTTACTTACATGATAATTTCTTCTTTATCTGCTATAGTGGGATCTAGTTTAGATTGCCATGTCTTAAATGTAATGCTTGTTGAGTTAGAAGATTGTCCTCTGTAGTAGTTTTTGGAATATTTGTATTGGCAGCATGAGACCTCCAGGTAATTTGGCTCAGATTGAAGTTCTTGTAAAAATATACATTTTTCATCCCTACACATTGAACCTAAGTATTTTGCTGAAAAGACAATCTGAACTTGGCTGTCAGTACTGTTCTGCTTTCTATGCAAAGGTAGTTCTCAGCTGGCAATTGAGAATATTTTCTTTCATGTTGCAGTGAAAAAGAAACAGGGAATGCTGATAGATGGCTCCACTTCCTTCTGTATTTTCTCCTCATTTACTCTTCTTGAAGAGCTTTTAACCAACTGATCTTAACATTATTCATACAAATCCTCCCATAAATTTTCAATATCAGTTAGATTTTATTTTAAATGAGTAGTTCCTATTCTGGGGTTTGTCTGTGCAGACTCTTGCCATTGATGTAAGGATGTTAAAGAAGTATTTTGCTTGAAGTCCTGTGGTGTTTTGCTTAATTTTGTTTTTAGCAGCATGAATTTGTGCTAAATGACTGTACTAAATTATTCCCTCCTTTCACTTTTACAGGTCTTAATGTAAAGTCCTCCTCCTTAATCTAGTCAGATTAATCATAAAATGATTTATTGTCAGTGGGAGACCATCCAAATCATGCAGTTCTTTCTGCTCAGATAGTAAAGAACTCATGCTCCATGTAAGCTAAGCTGTCTATCATTTAATTAGGCATGTTGTCCCACAAGTGGGTCCGGTACCCCAAGTGCAAAACACCAATATACACACGGAGTCATGGTATTTTATTTCATTGATGCTCATTAATGGGTTTCTGTCCCAAGACAGCACACCTGACCTTAGAGTTTTCCATAATTATACACTTAACTAGTACATATTCAACATTATTCTCTTGGGTGATTGGTTCCTTTTCCTCACATCTAATGCAAAGTAGCGCGCGGCCTCTGTCTTCTTGTCTTCTTTGAGTAGGCAGTATCATTTGAGTAGGTGGTCAATGAGTCGGCGGTCACAATCTCCACTTGCTGGAATTACCTTTTGCCTGCTTCTTTTCTAATCTTGGCAAGCCCAAGCAGGTCTTCATGGTTTGCTGGCCAAACCGTAATCCCTCACCCTTTCTGACAGAATATCCTATTTATCGACAAAGCCACATTGTCTAGTAGCTAGTTCCTAAATCTAACCTTAAATCATGTCTAGTTACTGTTTTACTAAAGTAAGATTGGGCCTATACAATGGATTTTTAGCAGCTTCCCAGTTGCTTCAATCACATTTTACATTTCATTAATACCAATGATAACAGCCAGAGATTTGCTTTTAGTTTGCGGGCTTCCATCTTTCTTTCCTCATGGGATTACCCTCACAGTCTTTATATTTATAAAATGTTTAACTAGCAAACCACATTAAATATTATCTAACTATTCCCAGGAAAGGATATTTGCAAATCAGTCAACCATGGTTGCGAACATGCTTGTGTTAATGCTGGTGATTCATTTGTTTGTAAGTGTCGGGAGGGATTCCTGCTAAGAGAAGACGGAAAAACGTGCAAAAGTAAGTAGTCTGATACTTATCAGCATACTTTTTATCTGCAGCTCATGCTTGTGTAGAAATGCATTAACCAGCAAGAGCTATCATCTGTTTCCAGATAAAGATCTTTGCAAATCAGTCAACCATGGCTGTGAACATGTTTGCGTTAATACTAATGATTCATATATCTGCAAATGCCATGATGGGTTCCTACTGAGAGAAGATGGGAAAACCTGCAGAAGTAAGTAGCATGAACTTAATTTGATGAATTACACATATAATCAAGGCCTCTCTGATGTATGCTGACTACCAACTCTGCTGTTTGCAGACAAAGATGTTTGCAATTCGGTCAACCATGGCTGTGAACAAGTTTGTGTGAATACTGAAGATTCATACATCTGCAATTGTCATGAAAAATTTGTACTGAACGAAGATGGAAAGACATGTAGATGTGAGTAGCCTGAGCTATAGAAGTCTGGTTTTATTTGAGGCTTTTAAGTGTTGTGGCTGTGAGCCTTTGCACATGTGTATGTTTGTGATTTCCAACTATTTGAGCTGGTTAATGAAAGATATTATCTCTCCCTAACGAACTTCACCTCATAAACTCCATCCACTCTTCTCAGATAAAGATGTTTGCAACTCAGTTGACCATGGCTGTGAACATATTTGTGTTAATACTGATGATTCCTATATCTGCAAGTGTCATGAGGACTTTGTACTGAAGGAAGATGGGAAAACTTGTAGGAGTAAGTTGTTTAATCTTTGTTTTGTACTTCCTGATCAGTTAATGAAACACGCTATGCAGTGTGTTATTTATGTCTTTAATGTAGAATTAATGTCATGGAAGTGAGCTCCATGGAAGATTATTGCCATAATTTTTATATTTTGTGAAAGTTATTTACCTAGCTAACTGTGCTAAATATAATTTTCATTATTCCAAGGTAAAAATATCTGCAAAACAGTCAACCATGGTTGTGAACATGTCTGTGTTCCAACTGGTGATTCATACACATGTCAGTGTCACAAAGGATTTATATTGAGGCGAGACAGGAAAACATGCAGGAGTGAGTAGCTGAAACTTTTATGGGGAATATGTTTTTTTCAGTCATAAAAGAAATAACAGTTAATTTAACTTGAAGTTTGTTCATGCCAGTTTTGCATTTGAGAAGTGGTTTAATATGGAAATTCTCTTAATTCTCAGATAAAGACCTGTGTAAATCCATCGACCATGGCTGTGAACATGTGTGCATTAATAATAACAATTCATACAGCTGTCAGTGCCATGAGGGTTTTGTCCTGAGACAAGATGGGAAAACATGTCGAAGTAAGTAACTCAATATGTCCGTCAGCCACTCATCTCTGGCACTGCTGTATAAATGAACAAAGATGTTCTACTCCTTTGACATACATTCTTCAAATATCATGTTTGGAGTCTCTGAATTTATAAATGTGTTAAATAGAATACATATAAATACTTCATTTTTTCCTAGATAAAGATGTCTGCAAATCAGTTGCCCACGGTTGTGAATATATTTGTGTTAATAATGACGATTCATACATCTGCAAATGCCAGGAGGGATATGTACTAAAAGAGGATCAGAAAACATGCAGAAGTAAGTACATTTTATTTAAAAAGCATTTTTTTCTTTGATTTCTAAAATTACTGAACCTCACTTCAACTGCCTCACTTCAAAAATTATATAATATTTGAAAGCCCAAAGCATGTGTGAGTGTGATGGAAAATGGCTTGAACAATTAACTTGATGCTCTCATAAGAAAAAAATAACAAATCGGAACAGTTGTTTTGTTATAGCATCAAGTGTGGTAATAATTCTTTCCAAACATCAGGAAAAAAGCCAAAGTGAAACCTTATTGTCAAGGAATGTGCACTTCAGTCAGATTCATATACTGTGGAGCTTTTATCTTTATATAATCCATTTTAAAATATCATTAATTCTATTTGCTTATCTTCTAACATGACATGCTTAGAGCATGACATGCATTTATCTTATCACTCCTTAATACTTGGGGGAGAAATTCTTCTACTGGAACTCAGGAAAAACATTTAGTCTGCAAAAATGGATGCCTTAGTTGGGGATACTATTATTATGAAAAGAATGGTAACATGTTCATGGCTGATCTCAATCCTAACGAAAACCATTCACCATGAATTCCTGCCCTATCTTGACTTATGCAATGATATTGAGGTGTTGCTGATACTCGTATTTATTGTTTTTCCATCACCTTAGTATGTGTGACACATCTTTTCCTCAGATGACTGCAGAAAGGAACTCTTGGACAGCAGTTTTAAAATAGAGTTGTTGCCTAAGAAGAAAAGCCTAAGCTTTAAAGCTGAAAATTCCTTATTCCTACACTGATTTGGTAACAGACATCTTCAGTAATTTCTGCAGTCAAAGTAATTTCTGCTGCACAATTCTCTCTTGTATAGTGCTTAGAGCATTCTTACTATACAAACATCAGAGATGAGTGGGGGTCAAAATTCATGTGGTCCAGACTAAGATGCAAATGTTACTTTCCTTAGTATGGCAAATTTTCCCTGGAAGTTGCATTGATCAAATAGGAGCTGAGCATCTCTGCAGCCAGCCCCTTGCACAAAACACGGTGGTCTATGTCTGCTGGAGGCAGTTGCTTTCCAGAATAAAAAAACACCTGGCAGGACCAGTCTGCAGCTTCAAAGACATTGTCCGGTCCCTAAATTCCCTAACCTTATCATGGATGCACGGTGCCTCCAAACTGCTTTGATTTTTGTGTGTGCACTTGCCAAAAAGTATGAGAACTCCAAATTCGTCAGACTCCTGACAAACTCTCAGCCTTAATGGGTAAACAGAAAAGGTTGATTTCAGCAATGCATAAGCCTTCTAATTACAGGATTGTTAGAGAGTTACAAGCAAAAACCCTATATAAGCAATTCTGATCCATGTTTAGCAGCTAGGCATATTTCTAGCATTTACTGTCTCACCTATAGTTTTGTAGCTGTTTTTCTGCCACTAGAGGTTTAAGTTTGTGCTATAAAAACATGTGCATTGTCTGAATTTTGTCCCCAGACCTGAACCTCATCCTAAGCTCTAGGGCAGGCTACCTAACCCTTCTCTTCTCGCTCAGCTTTCCCTAAGCTCTTAGGCTTTTGCCTCACTGTTCCCTGTCACTCTAAATATGACTCCTAGATTTTCACCTTATACAGAAGCGTGGCTTCACTGATTCATTTCTTTGTACCACCTTCACCTTTTTGCTACTTATGCCACACAAATGGAGCTCCAATGCTTCTCTTCCATCTTTCAGTGCTGGTCATCCACACAAATGTAAAATTAGCATACTGACCTATCCCTGGAAGAAAATGATGGTGACTCTATATTCTAGCTGTGTTCTTCAGTTACACAGTTCTCTCCAATTAACAGTCATTCTTAAAATTTGCTGGTTGTTGCTGTGTTTTTAAGAGTTGTAGTAATCTGCAAAGCAGTATGTCTCAGTAAGTATTCACTGTGATTATCTTCTTGTTAAACTTTCAGTCATGGGCACACTCTTAGCTTTTGATATAGACTTTACACGACATTTTTAGGCAAAGTTGGATGAGCCAGGAACAAGGTACTGTACATGATCTCTGAGTTTATGGAGTCCTTGGGTAACTAGGTCCCTTTTTCAGCTTTGTGGAGTTTTTGATCTGAACGATCTGAACACTCTGCTGCTCATTTCACAGGATGCACTGAAGGCCCACTTGACCTGGTGTTTGTGATTGATGGGTCAAAAAGTCTCGGAGAGGATAATTTTGAAATTGTAAAACAATTTGTCTTGGGAATCTTGGATGCACTTGAGATTTCACCCAAAGCTGCTCGAGTTGGTTTGCTTCAGTATTCCACTGAAGTTCGCACGGAGTTTACATTAAGGCAGTTCAACTCAGCCAAAGACATGAAGAAAGCTGTATCACAAATGAAATACATGGGGCGAGGTTCCATGACAGGACTGGCTCTGAAGCAAATGTTTGAGAGAAGCTTCACAGAAACAGAAGGAGCAAGGCCATTTTCAGCAAATGTCCCTCGAATCAGCATTGTGTTTACAGATGGACGAGCCCAAGATGAAGTCTCCGAATGGGCTGCTAGAGCAAAGCAAAATGGTAAGTGGAGATGTTTCAGACTCATTCTAAAAGACAAATATTGTTAGAAATAAGATGTGCTAATAGCATGGATATGCTACAGTATGTGCTAATCAAGAGGATGTTTGCCATAGCAGTCTGGCTAGTACGGTGACCACTGTAGCCGAACATCAGAACTGTGGTGTTCACAGGAGCCTTTCCTACAAGGCATGTATGTTACCCTGAGTGTGGGACCCATGATGAGTGTCTCACCACGGGGTTCCCCTGCCATCCTGTGTGGTTTGAGCCTACCCAGCTGGCCACAAAA